TTTAAGCTTAAATATCTCAACAACTATTTTATTAAATTTGATAATTTTTTATTTATTTTAATTCTATATAATTTTAATATTAAAATAAAAAAATTTTTAGCAGATTTAATTAAATAGTTGTTGAGTTATTTAAATTTAATAATTAAAAAAATTTTACTAAAAATGATTTGTTCCTTTTCTATTAATTCTCTCCTATATTCTACTTGTAAAAAATTTAACTAAATTATAATAAAAATAGAAACATGACCTTATCTTTAATATTAAAAATAATAATAATAATAATTTGTATTAAAATAAGCATATAACTAACTATTTGTATAATTTTTTATTTTTTATTTAAATACAGTAATTTACTTGAAGGTTCTATACTAAATGCTATATTAGTAATTATATAATATTAAACTTAGATGTTAAATATATATATATTTTTGTTAAAAGTTATACTTTATAATAGTTATTTTATTACAACTATTTTTACAGAAATAAGAGTATATCTAACTATATATATAACTTTTAGTTACTTATTTAAGTAGTCCACTTTAGAGTTTTATACTAAATGCTATATCTATAATTTACTAAAAGATTATTTTTTTAAAACTTTTAATTATCTGTCTAATTAATCATCTAACTACTACTATACTTTTATATATATTTAGTATACTGTTTAAGCAGTATAGTACTTATTTTTTTGTACTGATATTCAAATCATTATATATTTTAAAGCATAGCATTTGTCAGTAAGACTCAAAAAACCTTTTTTATTAACTATTCACTTACTTTATAGAATATTAATAAAAGCTACTTTTGCAGAATTTATTCAAATCTTAGCATTAATTTTATAGCATATTTTTAATACTTTTAGTATATTTCTGCTTTGTTCTTAAATTTTTAATTCAAATAGTCTGATAGTACTATGATTTGTCTTTGGTTTATCAAATCCAGTTTGATATTTTTTTTTTTAGTTTAATTTTAGTAATCTGATTAGAGATACTTTTTATCTAAAGGTTTTTGTTTATCTGATTTCTCTATATTGGTATTTATTTTTTAATTTTAGTTTTTACAATAATATTGTACTATTTTTTTATTTAAAAATTTTCTAAATAGGCTTTGATTTCTCAATTCTACAAATTTATATAATCACAAGAACTTATTTTGAATTTGCACTACCTAATACTAATTTTATTTCTTCATATAACCAAGATTATACAAATATCTTATGATCTGTTAGTTATACTAATACAATTATAGTTATAGATATCTTATCTTAACTGATTAACAAAAGACTATTGCTGTAATATATACAAATATTATATAGATAATTATATAAATTTTAATTGGTAATGAGTTTTGAACTTACAATTTACTATTTAAGAAGTTAACAACTTATTTATTTTACTAAGTTACTATACCTTTATATTAAATATATTTATATTATTGTAAAAATAATTTTAAAATTTTAATAAATACTATAATACTAAAATTTTATACTTAATAATTATATAAAATATTTTAATTTTTTAAATAATTATAATTTTTTATTAAAAAAGTTTTAAAAAAATCTGACTGATAACTTTATATATATAGTTTTTTAATATTAAGATAAATACTTGTAATCCAGGATTTTATTAATAGTATATTTAGTTAATAGTTACATTACAACTATAAAAGACAATTATAAAAAGAGTATATAACTAATTACTTATATAACTTTAGTCATTGTCTAATTTAAGTAGTCTGATTAAAGGTTTTGTACTAGTTATTATATCTGAAATCTGTTTGTAAGTTTATTATTTAAACACTCTAGTTTTTATATTTACCTAACCTACCTATATCTACCAAGATGCCCTAGTCAATACTGATACAAATATGTTATAATATGACAGGATGAAACCTGAGTTGCGAAATAGTGAAATCCATTATGATCATCACATGAGAATGAAATCCGTTTTTATATAATAAAAACCATAATAAAACACGAATTTCACCCTAACCCGATCTACAAAGTGGATTTCACTATTTCGCAACTCAGGTTTCACCCTGTCATGTTATAATTACTAAGTTTTTAAGATTGTTGTTTATATAAGAACCTTTAACCTTATACTAAATTTTTTAGAATTTTCAGTATTATATTTTTATAACTAACTCAATAATGCTATAGTTAAGACTAACAATTATAATTAGAGCATATCATTAAACTACTATATTTTTGTAAAATTTACTCCAAACCTAGTACTTATTTTATAATATATTCCTATTATTTTAGTATTCAAATTAATTTTTACCAAGCTTCCAGTTTAGATAGTTCAAAAAAATAAATACAAACATACCTCTGGTTTATATATTTTTTGTCATGTAATCTTTTTTTTTAGAATAAATCCTAGTAATCTAACTAATTACAATAATTCTTTCTTAAAGATTACTTTTCTTTACTTGACTTTACAGATTCTAGATTATTTTATGGATCTAATCTTTATAGTAGTATTATTAAAAGTTCAGATTACCTCTTTACTCAAATCTTTTAAGTAAACTATCTTCCTAATTTCTGTAATTTATACAACTATAAGAACTTATTATGAGTTCATATTATCTGATACCAGTTTGTATTTCTTTATACAAGTTTGTATAAATATCATATAATCTTTCAATTATACTAATATAACATGAATAACAGATATCTGATCTTAACTAATTTTAGAAAACAGTTAACTATAATACAGAAAGAATTGCAAATTTTTACTGATACTAGAATTTGAACTCTAAATCTGTCACTTAAAGGTTAACAATTTGTCTATTTTATAAAATCATTACATTTTTTATTGATAATTTTATAAAATTAAATTAACTCTATATATATGCTAAATATCTTTTTAAAATCTGATTACTGTAAAAAATTAATGCATTTTGAAAATTGAAATTTTATATTTAAATTTATAAATTTATATATAAAATTTTAATTTTCAAAATGCATTAACTTTTTTTAGTAATCAAATTTTAAAAAAAAATTTATTATAATTTTGTTTATAGTCTGAATCTTATTTTTGTAAAAAATTTGTAAATTGACTCTGGCCTGTGTCAACTCATGTAGTTGCTTATAACAAATTAATAATAAAGATAAAGGCAAAACCTCACCTTAATACAAAAATAAATAAAAAATTTAACATATATATAGAGTTAATATAACTTTATAAAAAATTAAAACACTTTATATAACTATTGAATATAAACTTATAGCACTATAGTATGACTGCTTAAAGTTAAAAAAAAATAAAATACAATTTCAATTAGATTTTGATATTTAAAATATATAATTGGTCTTGATTATAATTTGTATTTAATAATTTTTCTGACCTCACCGTTAATATTTAAAAAAAAAAATAATTTTTCTGATCGTGTTACGTTTGATCCATTATTTGCAGATCGTCACGTGCTATTGAAATTTTGTTGGTGATTCTGGGTAATTGACTGCTATAGATTAATTTGAAAATGGTTGCCGCTATTGAGCATTGCGTTTTTTGTTTCGACATCCTTGTTGCCCATTTTGAAGGAAGGGAGCATTTAGAACCAGAATTCGAGAATGCTCAATAGTAAGTTTCCTAGTTTGTTTCGCATTCGACTACTGAGCCTTTCGTCCAAGTACAAAAAAAACAATGTTTATCCTGAATGAATTCATTAAAATAGCTCGACGCAATGGTATATTATACTAATACCTTTGCATATTTAAAGTCCGCTCTTTGTAACTTGGAACAGTCTTCATCAGGGTCAACCTCGTCTTCGTGGATGCATCGGCAATTTTGATGCACTGCCTCTTCATTCTGGCCTAAAAGAATATGCTATTACTAGGTAATCAACCGTAAACAATTATTAAGCTCGATCATCGAATACTTTTTGTATCGATTGTAGAGCGACAATGTTATTAACGACTTGTTCGCGTCAGCAATGGCTACATTGGGACATCTACCAATGGATCAGTCCATCATAAAAGTCTTGCTTGAAGGCAGACTTTTGGTATACAATATTTATAATTTACTTTCAAAGCTACTATAATCTCATTCCTGACATTTCCGTACCAAATTTGGGTGTAATATTTTTAGTGCTATTCATGATAAAAGATTTTCACCCATTACTGCCCGAGAACTTTCTCATCTTACTTGCGGGTTTGTAATTTTATCATAAACTTTTGTTTTATTTCGAAGTGCTTTATGCAAATCTTTAGTATACTAATACTTATGCATTCATATAGAGTTTCTCTTTTGACAAATTTTGAAGATGCTGAAGACTATCTCGATTGGGAGGTTATGATCGGCAGTTTTTTTTTTGATGATTCCTTAAGTTTTGCCTATTTCTTTATTGATTAAATGAATAGTATAATTCAAATAGATCGGCGTTCATGGCATTTGGATAGAATTCGTTGACGATTATAACCGTCGTCGGACTGCCACTTACTTGCCCGAAGTTGCTGAGGAACAAGGTAATCAATCACTTCTGTACAGACTATCAATGTCATTTACTATAACGAGGCACATAATTAACGAAATATTATAGGTTGGACAAAAGAAGAGACTATTGACTCACTTCTTCGTAAAAGTGGATACAATGGTCGAATCACCGATAAAATTCGTAGTCGCGTTGTTCTTACACGTTATCAAAGTGCAAAATATGTTATAACTTATGAAGAATATCTCGAACATGTTAGTAGAAAACCAGAAAAACATAGAAATAAGTAGGGTTGTGATCAAGGCCTTTTTTGAATTGACATTACTACATAGTTCGGGTTTATAACCGGATTTCTAGTTCATTTGGGATAATACAGTATCGAGATCTAGATATACAGTCAATAGTGTAAAATTCGAAAACCAATTATATTTGTTAGTGCTATTAATTATTAACCCTTCATTATTTTTAAGAGATGTAACGATTAAGCATGATCTGTTGAATAAAGTGAGATGTTACAATAGGTCCAATAGTCATGTCGGATATGTGCGCAATAAGCGAAAAATTCAAAATAAATTCGATTCGTAAATAATAAATATTCAAGTTTATTCGAATAGAAGTGCCTGATATTTCTTAGAAGAGTAAAACCCTTAGTAAAGATTGATTCCTTGTATGAGTATTACCAAGGGAAAACGTGACTTTGGCTTCAAGTTTATTATTTATTAATATCAAATTCATAAAGAATTTTGTAAGAATTACTTATTCTAATATTGTTGCTACTAGGAACCGGAAACCGGTATAAGTCCGGAGCCTATTAGACGAACACGTAAAATTTGTTTTTTTTTTGTTAATGTCAACTATGTTATTGATATTTTTAGTAAAAATATATCAAAAGCGTAATTTTGGTTATCAACGTTATAAACATGTAAGTCCTATCGATTACAATCAGATCTCTATAATTGCACTCTTCTCGGAACCATAGGAAAATGTTCATTTAGAGAGGGTGTGCATTTATAGAGAGAATTTTTACTATGTTTCTATATATTTGTGACCATGGTAGGGTGTGCATTTTGAGAGAATTTACATAGTGGGTGCTTTATAGAGAGTGCTATTATGAAGGTTTGACTGTAGATTAGTCATGTCAGAAAATTTCCTAGATTACATGATTATCAATCCTTTCCAACTTGTGATATACATTGGATTTTTTTGATAAATGCTAATAATGATAAAAAATTTCGAATCTAGAATTTTTTTTAAAAAAAAATTATAAAACAATTATTTTCTGATTATTCTAAAGAAAGTTTTATCTAAATTTTTTAATGCAGTGAAACTTTGATTTTGTTAAAAATTATCATCATTAAATTATAAAAAAGCTAATTTTTTTTTATATAGTTTTTTTTTTTTTTTTTTTTTTAAATATTAAGGTGAGTACTTGTGACCCTGGATTTTATTGATAGTACATTCAGCTAATGGTTGCATTACAACTACAGGGGGCAACCATGGAAAAAGTGTACAACTAGCCACTTGTACAACTTTAGTCATTGTCTAATTTAAGTAGTCTGCCCAAAGGTTCTACACTAGTTGCCATACCTGGAACCTGCTTGTAAGTTCCCTATTTAACCACTCTGTTCCTATATTCACTTACCTACCTACACCTACCAAGATGTTCCAGTCAATACCGATACAAATATGTCATGGTCACTAAGTCTTTAAAGCAGTTCACTCACATAGGAAATCTTTAACCTTGTATTAAACCTTCCAGAATCTTCTGTATCCCATTCTTATAGCTGACCTGGTATCGCTATGGCCAAGACCAACACTGACGGTCAGGGTATATCATTTAACCACTATGCTCTTGTAGAGTTCATCCCAAACCCAGTACTGACTTCACAACATATCCCTACTACTTTGGTATACAATTCAAGTTTCACCAAGTTCCCAAACCAGATAGTTCAGAAAGGCAGGTCATAACTATACAACTCTGGTTTACATATTTTCTGGTATGTAATCTTTTTCTCCAGAATCCGGAAATTCTGGTGGCCTGGTTGGTTCCATTTAACCCCTCCTCAAAGGTTGGTTCTTTGTCCAGTTTCATAAGTTCTAGTTTTATTTCATAGATCTAGTCTTTATAGTAGTACTGTCAAAAGTTCAAATTATCTTTCTATTCAGGTCTTCCAAGTGGGCTTCCGTCTTCCTACCTGGTTCCTATGATTTACACAGTCTAAGGACTTATTTTGAATTCACATCACCTGGTACCAGTTTGTATTCCTTTGTACAATATTGCATGAATGCCTAGATCTTCCAGTCATGCTAGTATGACACAAGTTACAGATGTCTTATCCCAACCAATCATGAAAGACAGTTACTATAGTACAAAAAGAATTACAAATTTTTACTATCACTGGGATTTGAACTTTAGACCTGCCACTTGGGGGTTAACAACTTATCCACTTTACTAGATCGTTACACCACTTTTTTTTATATAGTTTGTAAATTTATGTAATATAACATTTTAATTAATTAATTAATTTTAGAATTATTTTTTATTTTTTTTTTAATTAAAGTCTCTATCTTGGGAGTTGCGATGTTTTTATTCAAGTACATTAGGACACAGTATACCACCAGGGACTCACCTTATATTGGAGATTACAACTAGCCATATGTGCACTTTTGGTGCCTAATTTAAGTAGTCTGTTTACATATTACTATATAAGTTCTACATAATTGTCATACCTGCAAGCCAACTAGGGGTCTTGCCTATTTAAACCCTCTGCATATGCAGTCCTTCTTGTATCACAGAAACATCTCAAGGCACTGCCTATCCAAGTTCTCAATGCTTATAAGTCTCCTTAGGAATACTTTATCCTTAATAAGAAACTTACTAGAGCCTTTATGTCCTATACATATAGACCTAGTTTTATGCAACATGCTATAGTTACCTAACACTTGCAGTCACAGAGGTTACCTGTTTAACTGCTACGTTACACTATTTCTACCCTTGTAAAGTTCACTAGAACCCCAGTACTCATTTTTCTGGTATCTTCTCCATTATCCTCTATTAGCCACAACTCAGAACTATCAGTCTTATTTATTCAGACTACCAATCCAGATGGCCTGGTATGATATACTTCTGTATTTTTTTCCTCTGATAAACCTGGTGGCCTGGTTGGTTATGTGCTCTTCTATATATATTTGTTATCTGGTTTTAATCTTCGGTTTCTATAAAGGTGTTTCATGGGCTTCAATCAGTCCAATAGTACTGTCGAAAGTTCATGCTACCTCTTTATTCAGAAATTTCCAAGTGGGTTTCTATCACCTCGGTTCCTTAGTCTTTTATGCCTGGTGGTCTTATCGTAGGTTTGCACCGAAGTCTTATGCAATACTGGTTAACATTTCTCTATATATGTGTAATGTTATACTTCACATAGATGCCTTGAGCTCCCAAAGCTAAGAGAACCCGGCCTGATATATCTGGGTAACTGCCACATGAGGCCAACTGATCAACAGAAGACAGTTACCATAACACAGATATAATTTCCAAATTTCATCATAGGTGGGATTTGAACCTTAGACCTGCCACTTGGAGAATGACAACTCAACCACTACACTAGGATCGCCATCCTCTTTAGCATAGTATATTATATAGTAGTATTAGTAATTATATATATATTCATTATTGTATTTTGTATTATATTTATTATTAGTCATTAGTTAGTCAATAGTTATATTATATAGTAGATAGATAAAGAATCTTAATTGGCTATTAGAAATGTGATACAGTCATATGATACTGAGTAACATCTGTGATATTACTATTATTTTACAAATTCCAAGTATCCCTGTACAAGTTTCATATATTCTAGCACCAATTTCTGTGCCAAGTGCCATAGTACAAGAATCCTAAGTATTCTTAATACGAATCCCAAATGTCCTTGCACAAATCCCAAGTATTTCTGCACAAATTCCAAGTGTCTTTGCACAAATTCAAGTACCTAAACACAAGCCTCAAGTGTTTCAAGTATGAATGACAAATAACATAAACAATATCCCTAGTTGGCTCTGTACAGTTCTCACTACTTCAAGCATAGTATCATTTAATATTGTTCAAACCTCTACTATTCCAAATACAATAATATTCAATATTGTTTGAACTTCCATTACTTCAAGTATAGTATTAAGTAATGTTGCTCAAATCTTCACTATCCTTGCTAGGTAAAAAGATATATAAAGGGTAGCTCTTATTCTTCTCTGCCAATTCTAAGTTTCTATACTTCAATCTAGACCCTTCTACCTTTATTTCTAACTTGTAAAAGTGATATTCTCCCTCTAGAATAATTTTTACAAACAAAGTTGTTACTGTATGTTTATTTAATAAAGTTAATCTATATATTGTTACTATCTTGAACCATTTGCTTGCTGCTATGTAGTAAAGTAAACTACTACATCTCTATCTTATATATATTTGCAATAGTCAATTACTGTACTGGGTAACCTTGTTACTTGGTTGTATTGTACCAAAAAGGCTACAACTCTGTAACAGTAAATGCTCTATTAGTATAAAAAATGTATTTTCTTTTGGCTTTTTTTTTGTTTCATATCAGAATTTCTATTAATAAGTTTGTAATTATGCTATTTAATTTTTGTTTTCTAATTAGTTCTATTTCTAATTCCTCTGTTTGTCTTAATTCTAATAACTTCATTTTGTTTTTTTTTTTGTTTTTTTATTATTCTATTTTCTAATATTTGTTCTAATATTATATTTATCTTATTGTTAGTTTTTTCTATTAGTAACTTTGATACTACTCTCATATTATAGTCTTATTTATTTCTTATATTTGTCTGTTGTCTGTTCTAATCTGCTTTTACAATATTTGTATATATTTATTTCTGTTAATGTTTTCTCTTTTTTTTATATATTAGCTAATGCTCTACTAATACTTTTTTTTTTCTTAATTACTTTGCTAAATTGCTAATTGTGTTTTGGTTTATACACAATCTATTTTTTTTTTTTTAGTCTTCTGACATCTTTGTTCATTTAATTTTTAACATCTGTATATTGTAGCTATTTATTTTATAATAGTTTTGTATTTCTCTGCTTACTTGTATTTTTAGCATATTTTTTCTATTTCACTAAACTATTTGACTCTTTTTTTTTCTATAACAGCTCTTGAAAACTCTTAAGCTGTCTTCATATGATTAGGCTATTACTTTTTATATTTATAAGCTGGTTTAGATATAATAACCTTTATTTATTTATTGTATTACTGCTTGCTACTCATGTTTTTGTTTCTAAAATATCTTTTATTTGTCTATTATATCTATAAACTTTCTATAAACATTTTTTTTTTAATTTCCCACTGCATGGTTGCTAGTAGGCCACAGCTAGTGGCTGTTTTATTAGTTTATATTTTAAGTTTATAGAACCTTCTATCATAATTCTGTCTACATTTTACATTGTTTGTATATATTTATGATACTATCTATATACTAATTTTTGTGTTTCTATTACTCTGGAATTTCATCAGAATTATTTTTAATCAGGAATTCCTTTGTTCTATTATTATCTTCAGCCCTCTAATAATCACAGTCTTCTTATGTCAGGTCTGTCACCATTTAAGGATCTGGGTACTGAAGATCTTCCTATT